CTTTTATCATTTGTATGGACATGTTTTAAAATATTATTTTTATCATAAAAAACGCGAAATAAACATGAACCTACAGTCAATTACGGTACCTACGGTCAATTAGTTCTTCAAATGTTACCTTTAAGTTAATTTTATAGTTTTGTGATATTAATAATGCTAATGTATTGATATTTTTCTAGTTTTGATTTAAGTTTGCTTATTTAGCATCGTCACAGTTGCTAGGTGATATGACGTACGCCGGGGTAAGGAGGGGAGGCTAGACCGTCCAAATTCACAGCCTCTTTTTCTTCCCGGTCTTCCCGGTCTACCAAGGACCCGGCCCACCGCGACTGGGTAGTCTGGTTCCTCCGGAGGACCCGGTCTGTCATTTTGGACACAGCCGAAATGTGTTGTGGAGTAGTTAATGATCACATGACAATGCTAATGCCGTATTAAGCTAACCACTAATGCTAATGCTAATTTTACAAATGCAATGATTCAGCCATTTTACACATCCACAGCTGAATATTTCTGTAGCACACTGCAAAAACTGTCCATCTAACCAAGTTTTAAAATCTTATATCAGCCAAAAAGTATTTTTGATCTTGTTTTGAGACTGTTTTACTAAACAAGAACTGATTGTGTAAGAATAATCATCTTGTTTTCAGAATGTGTACGATTATTTGTCTTGTTAGCCTGAAAATCGGACTCAAATTAAGTCAAAACCTTCTGCCAATGGAGTAAGAAAATTGTACTTGGTAAGATTCCTGAAATACTTGATTTGACTAAATTTTTCTTATTTCAAGAATCTTACCAAGTAAAAATTTCTTACTCCATTGGCATTTTTTTACTTACTAATTTGAGTCAATTTCTCAGGCAAACAAGACAAATAATCTTACACATTCTGAAAATAAAGTTATTATTCTTACACAACCAGTTCTTGTTTAGTAAATCAGTCTCAAAACAAGATCAAAAATACTTTTTGTCTGGATATAAGATTTTAAAACTTGGTAAGATGGACAGTTTTTGCAGTGCATCGGAGAACAATCTTTAACAAAATCTAAATGCAAATACAAAATCCAAGGTGTCAGTTTTTTGTGGTGGCCAACAAGGTGCCACCCGGGCCACCCCTCTGGCTCCGCCCCTGACTTTATATTATATTGTTAGCTTTGTTATGTCTGATGTATCCTCATTTATTATTTTCTGTTTGCTACACAAATACAGAAAACCTCCACAACTTTCTCAGACCTGCAGCCGACAGTTCTGGTGTTTCAGATCCAACTCTCGGCCCTCGGTTTGTTCCAACAGTCGAGTGTTTTTCTCCAAACTGCCCTGAAGCTGTTCGCCGTCACAAAGCGCCGCCTTCCAAAATCAAGAGCCGCACTCAGAGCAGTTTGTTCCACCATTTTCCTGATCAGTGTGCACTGCCAATGCAATGCACACTATTATGATTCATTTCTCATCCAAGTCATCTCCACTTTGCCATGCTTCTCCTCCTGCATACTTTGTCCTAGAGCTGCCATTGTAATTTATATCTGTAAAGCTCCTGTGCCAAATGATGGCTATGCCTTTTGGTGCCTGTAAAAATTATAGTTTATGATATATTAATGTTTAATGGCAGTCAATGGAGCCTTGTCCAATACTGCCCCCTGCTGTACTCAACTTGGTACTGCAACATATTTTAATATTTCAACTCAGTAGTTCAGTGTTTACAATACTAATATGATTGTATTTTGATGTTTTACTATAATATTGTCCTAATATTGCTTTATTGTTGTAATATTTTTCAAATTAGTGACAACCATTACATTGGCAATGTGGCCACTTTCTGCACACATACAAACCAAACACTGGCCTCATTCTCTACCACAGCTCTAATGGTCTTGTGGTTAGTGCCATGGACTTTCATGTACAAAATCAGGGTTCAAAACCCAGGTACAGCAACTTTAGCGGAAAATCTCTACAAACTTCATATTTTCACTCAATTACCTTAATTACAAACACTGCTGACGTGGCAGGCACAAGCTGGTTTAGAAAACACATTTGAACTTGGTCACATTTCATTCTGCAAGTCCACTGCTGCAGGAATGACATGCTACAAGGCAAAGCACACTTGTTTTTACATCATAAAAACCCACGTCTAGTTGCATTTGCTCCTCTCCCGAGGCCCGCTCTCGCCAATCAGCGGGACCGGAAAGCCTGCTCGTGTGTGCGGTCAGGGACCCGGAGCCGAGGTCTGACCATCTGCCGGGACCAGATTCAGAACGAGCCTCCCCAGCAGAGAGAAGCGATTACGACGGTTGCAGCAACGTGTCGCCTCTCCTTATTACTGCAGTCATTTGATGAGGCGGCGGGGAGCGACTGAAGCGCCTCTCAGGAGATTTACGAGCTGTTAGGATCAGAGGTTCT